GATCAAATTCTGTGTGGTTGTCTGACAGAAATTCACAACATACCATTGCTTAAAACTTTGCCGTTGACAGTTGGAGTCAACGTTATTTATTAGCAAAACATCCTAAAACTTTCAGAAAGTAATTCAAATAATTGATTAACTTTGGGAGTCAGTTGATTTCAAGATGATCATCACGTCTAATCAATAGTAACCAACACAAAGATGGTTCAATCCATTTTTCAAATATTGAGTTAAAGGTTAGCTGATATTCTTTTCAAAATAAGATGTTAGTTTATAACTCTGCCATGAAGGGCGATATGCATTCCTTCAGTGCTCATGCTCTACACCTGCAGGCCTATGAGTGATTTCAAATGTCTCAGAGTAAGTGACTCTCACACACGAAACATCAGGTAGATCAAGTTCGGCAAGTCAGACTGAGCAAGGTCAAAGAGACTGATCCCATTTATTTCTTAATTTGCTGAGGCATTAAATTGCATGATGTGGCTTTGCTGCAGTTTCATAATTACCAGCACATGTTTCTAATTTCAAGCTACTCAAAGGCACTACTGACCCAAGTCCTCCCTTTTTTTCTGCTATTTCAGGACGACCAATATGTGTGAGCAACTTATTCTCAATATATACCATTACAGCACAATTAATTAGACATTATACAATCATATCTTACCAGTTTGGTTGTGTAAACTATTATAAACAACGTAATTGCACATTAAAAGGTGACATTTAGGAAAATGTATTTCTTTTGACAGTTTCTCTTTGACAGTTTTTGATTTTCTCCAGGTTGAATTGTGAAGAAGGGTTTCCTCCGAGGCTCTCTCTGCATTCAATGATGCATCACATCTTCCTAATGATGGAGCCGCAGTAATAGACCCACTAATGACCGGACTTAAAAAAGAACATATTCTAACGGATGAAGCAGAACTGCAGGGAGAGTCCAGATGACAGACAGGAGAGGCTTTTGGAGCTGAGGAGGCTGGAGGAGGCAGGGTTTTAAGTATTTAAAACAGTTTATATGATTTAATCGACTTAATAAAATGATTCAAATAAATATAATTAATTAAATGGCTAATGTGAAAAGATTAAAAAAATTTGGAAGATTATTTTTATGTTGCTTTGTCATTTATATGAAAATATGGCAAGTTTGTTTATCATTTATTTTTGTATTTCAGTTATATATATATATATATATATATATATATATATATATATATATATATATATATAGTGAAAGCAGGTTTAATAATTAGGAATGTTTTACTCTATAATAATGTGATGAAAACATACACGGAGGAGTGAAAATCTTTTACTTTTTAAAATCAGAACCACATAGCACAACCTCAGATATTCCCAGGTAACAAGCTGTCACAACACATTTATGAGAAGATTTGTTTGGCTGCTGGCTCTGAAGCCTAGATTTCCAAAATATCTGAGGAAAAAAGTGGCACAACAGCAACAAAAAATATTGTTGGTCACTGATGTTTGGTTGTTTTACTTTGCCAAAACAGCTGAAATATCAAGAGTTTTGAATTCATAATATTTGTTATACTGAGTTGCCATTTTGGGTTCTGAATGTAATTAAGTCATACATGGTAATTTAATATAGTGTGATTGGTGTATTTGTTCTGATTCCATTGCTTACCTTTCAAGCTGACCTTTTAAAACTATGAGCTGTTTTGACCACAATGGAGCAAATTATGGTGATCAAGTTATGTTGAGTTCACAGCAATCAAATTATTTTGGCTGTAAGGTTAATAACTCATCACATAAACATTTTACAAAACATAAGTTCCCTATTTTTATTTTGACTGTGGCACCGATGACTTGACTTTGTCGTTTGTTGTAAAGCTGAACTCAGATTATTCTAAGTCCAATTTTTTGGAAACTTATTATCATTAATGGTCTGTGAAACAGATGCACCACAGAAATTCACGAGATGATAAGAAATTAATAAATGCTTATTATTCTTGGACTATAATAAAGCAACAAACACGCTGATCGATTCACCTTTATGGTTTAACTTGGGTTGCCCAGATGGGGGAACTTTATTTGCCTTCAACTTGAAGTTGCTCCCAGGGGTCAACCAGAGCAATGTGGTCATGTGGGTTCAAATATTACCAGCAGTAATGACACGTTTTGAAAGCTGCTACTTTGCACAGCATGTAAATGATGTCTATTGTGGTTTTTAGCTATTTTAACACCCCCACCACCACCACACACACACACACACACACACACACTCAAAAATAAACTCGTGACGCCACATGGCCTTCTCCGTGACACCAGCTCCTTCTGCCTCATTAAGGAAATGGCTCTTCTTGGCTGATTATTTTATTTCACGTCGTGATTACCACCCTGTGCTGCACATCATGCTGCAGCGGACAGCAGGCGGAGGCCAGCGGGCCTAATTGGGCCACGAGATGCATGGAGTGGTGCAGCCAGGCTGGGAGGCCGAACTAAAGCCTCTTATGGGCTTTTATTTATTGTTTTTATTTATTTTCCGTCTGTGCATCTCTCGGGCTGTTATTTGCCTGTTTTTTTTTTTTATTCCTCAGACAGTCAGAGCAGCTGCACAAAAAGAAACAAACAAAAAAAACTGTATGATTTGCTCCACGGCAGTTTCTCCAGATGGAAAATCGATTTTCCTTTTCGATTTGTATAACTGACTGAATGCAGGTACCTGCGAGGAGATGCAATAGGTGTGCGCATGCAAAGAATAAGCAGCTCGCCTCCTGGCGCGCGTGTAGCAATTTGGTTGTTAAGAATCGCAGCAACTGCTTTCGTTGACTTGAAATCTGTGCTTCAAAGGCCCATATGAGCAATGGATTTAACGCAGTTTGATTGCTAAAAACCCGCGGAGAAGAAAGACACGGAATGCTTGATCTTTGAAATTACTTTACAAAAATTACATTTGTTTTCTGTTTTCAGCTTCTTTCGTTGTTTTTTTTTTTTTTTTTGCCTCTTTTTTTTTCTATGCGCTTCCATTAAAAGGTGTCTCGTGGCGTGTAAACAGCCGTTCCGCACTCAGATGCGCCGCATTAACCCGGGAGGATCGGTGCTTTTCTACTGGGGAAGATTGATGTGGTCCAGTTAGAAACGCTGAGTGAGACGTAGACCCGTTTCAAGAAGGTTTTGCTCCTGATGCAGCAATAAGTTACAGTGTGAGGCTCGGACAGCAGAGGGATGTTCTCCATCCGGGATGTTTTCATCACAAAACCAAAAAAAAACATCAATCATCAGCGCAGAAATCAAACAAAACAAACAAAAAATTCATAGAAATTTCAAGTAATAATAATCAGAATCAGTCAGAGTCAGATATATTATTATTATTATTATTATTATTATTATTATTATTATTGTTATTATTGTTATTATTGTTATTATTATTATAAGAAAACCCATAGGTGTGTTACACAATCATTATTTAGGCTAATGTGGTTTAATTTACTCAAAGAAGATATTAATGGTTTATAAAAACGACTGATAGGATGTGATTTAAAATTAAATAAATATGCCAGAAATGATGCACGCTTCATTTTAAGCAGAGCTTTTTATAGTCCAACATAATTGAAACAAACTAATATTTAGATGAGTTGATTTCACGTGTTTCCGCTGCAGCATGGTGGAAATCAAACGTCCCCAGGAGCATACAGACCATCTCCTGCGCCTCTGCTTTGGCCTGTCGTCTCCCAGCACATACAGAGCTCCTCTCTCTCCTCTCCAAGTGCGCGCGTCTTGAGCCTCCATGATGCGCTTCTCCCGAACCTTCCGGGAGCTGGTCACAGCTTGCCCTCACCTCAGTGAACCACGCGCCTGCTTGTTTCCTTGCGTTTTCACGCTGTGTGACACATGCAGGCTCTGCGTCCCTGCAGACTGTTGCGGAGCATAAAAGATGAGCCGCCTCCACGCGGCGCTGCACCGGAGAGGAGGCACCGCGGCTCCTCGCTCGGACGCCTCCTTTGTGCGGCTGCAAAGAAACCCATTTGGTCCCAGGCGGCGGCGGGTTCCGCAGGCTCCCCCCTGACATCTGCCAGCAGCGCGCCTCTAACCAGAACAGTGCGCGGTGCACGGGCGCAGCAGATCAATGACCGTCCTGTTAATTATATAATAGACCTACTTATGGACTTCTGCTAAAGGGGGCACAGTCGTTTAGGGTCCACCACGTCTGATTCTGTTAGAGCCAAACGGGCCTAAATACCTTTAATTGCACCCGAGTTGATGAAAAGTCGATGGGAGTTAAAGCGGCCGATCACTAACAGAGTTTAAATCCATCTGTTCTCCTTTTATTTATTTATTTCCTCGATTTGTCTCCACAAATCACCTGCCACGGGGGCAATGAATGGGAGGCTATATTTGTTTTGTTTGGGATCCAAGGACCGGAGAGAACTCCGAGAGGTCTCCTTCTCCTGGCTGGTTTCTTTTTAGACCCATGAGTGCAGAGAAGAAGCTTTTCTTTTTAACAATGATTAAAAGAAAAAAGCATTTGCTCGTGAAATAAATGGTTCAGAATGCTTTGGAAACAGATGCTACGCTTCAGACCAAAATAAAACCTTTACAGTTTGTTTTACAGCTTCAGCCATACAATCAGAGTCTTGTCATCGCACACAATATCTGAGATTAAACAAACGCATTAAGATGTTAAACATGGAATAATTTCAGCATGAAAAGCTAATAAATCAGAGGATGGAATGGCACAAGATTGAATTGTAGTGTTTGTGGGTCTGTGCGCGCGTGCTTGCGTGCGCGCAGGTGTGTGTTTAAGAAAAAAAAATGGAGGGGGGAAGAGGGGGGAGTCATGTAGCTGACATTTCCAGGCTCCTGCTCTGATTGGCTCCTATTTGAGGAAGCTCACGGGTTCTTTCAACTAATAAGCGCCTCCCCGTCGCTCTAAAGGACATTATAATGCAAGGGACCCCCTTTTTAACCACAAACCGCATTTTCGTTCATTTAGACCGTATACACTTTTTAAATTTGCCCCTAAAGTTGCAGTTTTTTGTGTGGGGGTAGCACATTCCGTTCGCCCTGGAGCGGTACGCCATGCTCTCTCACGCCGACCTCCTGGATGCTCGGCTCGGTGAGTTATCATCACTAAACTCCGGCCCTAAACTCCAGTGTAAGAATCCAACTTCTTGTTTAACCTCCTTAATAGGCAGTGAAGTTAATTGTGTTAACTGTTTAAGCAATTTATCTTTGGTTAAGTTAATTCATTCTTTAGTAATTTAATAACATTCTGCTCTGACTGCAAAAAATACCTTCGAGCAATTCTATTTTTTTATGTTTCTTTGTAATATTTCTAGCATTTCTTACAGCAGAAGAGTATTTCGTGTTGTTTAAGTTTAAAGGTGAGATTGTTTTTTGCCTTTAACCTGATCACAGGGATGAAGGATGCTGCGGAGCTACTCGGACACAGAGAAGCTCTCAAGTGTCGGCTGGGAGGTGGGGTTCCTGAGCAGGGCCATCCGGGAGACATGGCGCCGGGTTCGGACTCCGTGGAGGGAGCCACTCTCCTGCCGGGTGAAGACATCACCGCCGTGGGCTCCAACTCCAGCCTGCCGGTGAACGGGAAGGAGCAGGAGAAGCAGCAGCAGCAGCAGCCGCAGCAGCAGAGCTCCGGACAGAGCGCGAGCCAGCAGAAACAGAAGCGGCACAGGACGCGCTTCACGCCGGCGCAGCTCAACGAGCTCGAGCGCAGCTTCGCCAAAACCCACTACCCAGACATCTTCATGAGGGAGGAGCTGGCACTGAGGATCGGTCTCACCGAATCCAGAGTTCAGGTAAACACTCGGCATGAGGGCGAGTGTGAGATTTAGATGAGATGACCGCTTTGGGTTCACATATGATTTGTTCTAAAATCAACAGAGCCACCCGGAAACTATGTGAGGATGTTTATCACTGACTAATGTGTTTAAAAACAGTTAGGATGTAAGTTTAGCACAGTTAAGCAACATAGAAACAATGATCCGGCTGATAAAAGCCAGATCAAGTAACGCGTTAAATGTGCTGTCATTCAGGAAACTGCAGTCCGTCAAATACCAGTGTGGAAAAATCTCTATATGAATATGGTCAAAAAATATTGTTTTTTAGAAACTATTACTAATCCATTTGTTAAGAATTTAGATTGAATTTAAACAATCGTTTATATTTGAGTAAATAATTTGTAATTTACCGACACGGGTTCGCCGCGGGCGCTGTCCATGGTGCTGAACTTGGTCCATTACAGGCACCTGGCTCGTTCACGGGCCGGAATATAATCCTAATTTTTACAGCAGCAAATATTTATTGTGTTTAGGTCACATCCAGTTCACAAGGTAATTTAGCCCATTTTAATTATTTTTTTTTCATAGGGGAAAAAAATAGTCAAATGATGCCCTATTCTTTCAGCTCAACAAAGAGTTCTTTGAAACAAACGTTCTCATTTTTATTTAAACCTTTATTTTACCAGGAAATAAATCCATTGAAATTATTAACCTCTTTTACAAGGATGTCCTGGGCAAACATTTCAAGTTTAGACACGCATCTATCCTGTATCGCAACAAATATTAAATGCTGAGTTTATTTTTGAAAAGCAGCCCCGGAACATATCGAGCCATACGAAGCCAAGCGCATTATCAACCATTTTCAGTCTTCTTTTCAACAGTCAACGGGTTATTAAGCAGCGATGTGAGATTCATGTAAATGATCCAAGTGAAAGCAATAAAAGCAGAACAATCATTAGTCACCTTAATAATGAATTCTTTCTGTTCGGAGAGGCGCAGCATTCCGCCGGCTGCTGTTGGTAAACATGGCCGCTCAGGTGCAGCCCTCAGTGGGCGTGTTGCGCGCACACCTCTGCAGCCTCTCCTTTAAAATGCTCCATCAGCGACGTCTTAATACGGCTCAACAATATATTGTGGCCACTTCTTTCTTTCTTTTTTTTTTAATGGAATGAGAAATTGCATTTTCTTTCACCACCACCCCCTCCACCCCCCACTCCTCGGGTGTAATGGGTTTGGGCGACGTTTCACGGCTGGCTGAGCGGAATGAGAGCGAGGTTTCACTTTTTAATATGCCGGCATCGACTCGCGGCCTCGCGCGCGCATTAATCACAGCCGTAGATGATGAAATCTTTATAAAGCTGAACGGTGTTGCGCGTGCGTCGTCTTTTTCCCCCCCCTTATTTTCTTTCAAGCTTTGTTAGCGGTTTGTTGTGGAGGATGGGCACATTAAACTCATATAATTTTAAGCTGACCGACCTGTTTGCAAATATGGCAATATTTATAAATTGTTACTCTCACTTTTGCTGAAACACGCGCGCCGTGGCCTCAGCAAGTTGATGTAAAACCCCATGAATAATTAATTTTCTTTATATTGTTGAGACTCTCTACAACCAACAAGAGTATTATAAAGGCTTTAAGTCTAATATAATCTGGGATTGATAAATTACACCAGCTGTTGTGAAAACAGCTGGTCAGTCTGGCCGAATTGCTGCACAAACAAAACAACAACTTCCGGTTACATTAATGACCAAGTTCTCAGTGAAATTTTGGTGTTGGCTATTTTTGGCCCTTCTGTGAAGCTGTGGTCCCAAAACATTTCATACATGAACTCTCAACAATACACCGGAAGAGTCTTGTGACACCCATTTTTGAAGCCTTTGAAGCCACAAGGACATAATGACAACTCAAACAACCCTATAACAATTATACATGCTTTATTCATTTTTTTATTTTGTTTTTTATTCCACAGCTATAAAAAAATCCATATAGGATTGATTTTTAATTTTTATTTGATTATTGGAAATCGTACTCTCGACCCTAATTTTGGGAAGCAATTAAACTAATTGAACACAATTAATAGAATCTGTTACAGACTAAAACTGTTTGAATGTTAGATTATACATTTTTTGGGGGGGAGTCAGGGGGAATATTCATATTTCCGGGTGCCTTTAATGATGTGCGCCCTCCTGCTCCGTTGCTTTCAGGTCTGGTTCCAGAACCGACGCGCCAAGTGGAAGAAAAGGAAGAAGACCACCAACGTGTTCCGCGCCCCCGGCACGCTGCTCCCCACACCCGGCCTGCCACAGTTCTCAGCCGCGGCCGCCATGGAGAACAGCCTGTGCTCGTTCCACGCCAACGACTCGCGCTGGGCCACGGGGATGCCCGGAGTGTCGCAGCTGCAGCTGCCGCCGGCCCTGGGCCGCCAGCCGGGCATGGCGCAGTCTCTGTCACAGTGCAGCCTGGGTCCGGGCCCGCCGCCGAACTCCATGGGTCTCTCCAACGGCCTGTCCTCCAACGGCTCCGGCCTGCAGTCCCACCTCTATCAGTCGCCTTTCCCGGGAATGTCGGCGTCCCTCTCCGGCCCCACGAACGTATCGGGCTCCCCGCAGCTGTGTAGCTCCCCGGACAGTGACATGTGGAGAGGGACAAGCATTGCGTCACTCAGGCGCAAAGCGCTGGAGCACACAGTGTCCATGAGCTTCACTTAGTGACTCTTCACCTCACCGCACCCACCCCCCACCCCCACCCCCGTTTTACTCCTGCTGTTTAGATCAAAACCAGAGAGAGACTTGAGAGAATGGAGTCCAATGTGACCGAATACAAAATAACAAGACGAAACTGGTGGACAGAAGAAGCTGTTATTTCAAATGATGAACTCTTGAAGATAAATACTGATGTAATGATCTCTAGATTATAGGTCCTATTTACTGGGAGCCAAACAATTGTTGTATTTATGTTTTCATGGACGTGTCTTTACGCACACGTTCTTGTACGCAGGTGACGTTGTTATGTCGAGCGGTTATTTCTGAGTCTGGACTTTGGTGACAGTCCACCACACCGACAGTGAGCCTCCTGAACTGGGTCCCAGGGTTAAAACTACACGAGAAAGAGATGAAGACTGATTTTACACACTCAGTCTGAGACGTGGGCATAAATCAAGGTGCAGAAAAATACATAAATAAATAAATTACTTAACGAAATGAAGTAAGATGACCTCTCCTACTCTGTTTTAGGATGTTTTGTGTAGATGAAACATTCTTGCTGTACACGCTGGTCTTTTTTGTGACATGTTTTAACTTATTGTATGTGCTTTTACTTGACACATTTCTTAAGTGTTTGATCTCACGTCGAAACGCATCATATTGACGGGTTTGTACCGATTTAAAAATGAACAAACAAATAAAAGTACTTTTCAAGAATGTCAGAACAACACCGATTTATGTCTCTGTTCAATTTCGACCGCACGAATGCATCCAAAACTATCTAATCTGTTTTGCATATTGAAATAAAAATAACTTTTAGGCACTTTGGATGATCAAATTTAAGTATCCCTGGTCCTGAAGAAATATGTAGATAACGGTCACCCCACAGAGAGCACGTGGCTCTGACAACTCATCTGCTAATATTTAAATATTTTGTCTAAATGTCTGGAGGAAAATAAAGACATATGACATGCAAAAACAGTTGAGTGGTGGTATTTGCATGTGTTATGTGTTTAGTTTTAAAGTGGAGCATGTAGTTAACTGCAGCAAATGATAACCCGAATATACCGGTTTGCTTCACTAGTAATGTGAATTTAAAAGTCAGTGTTTTTTTGCTTTACAGCTAACACGCTCTTTTTTTAAATTAAAATAACTTGTTTGATCTGATTTTAGAACAGACTTTTTTGTCTGTTAACCTTCTTTGAGCTGATTTTAGAGCATCGAGGCACATGTACACTATCACCCGCCTCAAGGCTGAGCTGGTTTATTAAAGGTGCATGCAAACTATTAACAACAGACTGCTGTGATGGCAAGAACATTTTAATGATGGTTCCACAAACATCTCTGTTCCATGATAACTTATCCTCAAATAAGCCCCCCCCCCCCCCAAAAAAAAAAAGAAAAAAAAAAAGAAATTATTTAAAGAAATGATGAACAATATTTTTCGAATTTTCTTTCATTTTTCAAAATAGACAAATGTGAACGAAATATTTTACATCAGTAGTTTATGTTTTGTTAAATATGCCTATAGAAATATCATATTTTCCCCCAAACATTTAGAAACACAGTTATTATCATCCTAAATGTGATTATTAAATCTGTTTTGTAAACATTAAACCAATCTGAATCTAAATCAGTTTTAAGTTTGTTTTCCTTTCCTTGTGCCTTTTTGACATTTATCAGATTAATTTCACAACAATGAGCCAGATCACCTTTTTATTTATTTATTTATTTGCATCTCTTTAGTTTCCTGATGAGAGATTTAATAAGCGGCGGCCTCGAACGAGGTAAATACAATTTTCTCCATTATGAATGTGAGCGCGCCTCACTTTCTGTGTCAAAGAGTATAAGTGTCAACTTGAGCCTGAAATCACAGCAGCTCAAATTAATCAGCGAGTTAACCTCATCTCTTCGGCAGCGCTGAGGCCAATTTATGGTCACGGGATAGTAATTGATGAGATATGGCATTACCATAAGCAGTCCCACTGCCTGTAAACTTATAATGAAGTTTCAGTAACAATGTTGGGAGGTTAAACAAAAGATTAATCATAATTAACAAAATAATATTACATTTTTACATATTTTATAGTTGTTTCCCACTCTTTTCTATTAGCTTTAACTTGTTTACAGTAATTTGTCAAAGAACTGAAAATACCAAGTCAAGACCCTGGACATTTTATTTATCCAAAGATCTGCTGGATTTCTGCTGATTTTAATGCAAGTATGAAGTTTTCCAGCATATATATATATATATACTATTTTTACAACTTGATAAGAAAAAGGCTACTTTTTTTTTTTTGCTGAGTGGAAAAAAAAAAGCTAAATTGCTTCACAGGAAGAAGAAATCACTTGATAATTGATTTTTTTTTTCAATTTACTGCAAATATTTGGATATAAACTGTGGCAAGTTGTTATGAACTGTTTATACCCATAAAAATACAATGTAAACCTAAATTTACACTTAGTTATTTGTGGAAAACAATTTCAACCTAATAGTTTAGTAGAAGAAAAACGATGAAATCAAACATAAATGATTATCCTGAACTACAGTATAACAAATGGTGCAGTTTGAAGGAGTTTAAGTTTTCCAGATATATTGATGTGAAAGCGCATTTATCTACTTTACTGATGAAACGTGTGCATAAATATGTACTAATACATAAAAAAAATTAAAATCCTCAATCCAAAATACCTCTTATATTTATCTCTTTGGCTGTAAGTAAACAAAAGCATGGTTAGTCAATAGCTGTTCACAAATTTTGCTTACAAATATTAATTTAAGTATGCATAAATCAACAAAATGAAACCTAAATGCACTGATTTAATGGTTTTTACTTTATTAATTGTTTTTTGACAGGTCTTTATGACATTACTACCTTAAAAAATAAATCCAAGAAATAGCAAAGGAAAAATAAATAATTTGCAGATTTAAACTGTTTTCATTATGAGGCAAGTCCACCACTTATATCTCAATTCAAACAGAAATTATTGGTTTTCTTTCTAGAATTAAAAGCAGAAGTACTCCCACACTGCAAAGGTATGTAATTACGAGATACTGACAGCTGATTAAACCCCAGTTAGACCGACTGCTGCTCCATCCATCCACTCTGCAGCTGCAGTAAAGGTGAGAGCTCGTGCAGATCTGGGATTTATTTTTTTATGCTCGGCTCAGCCCACCAGATCCGGCCCCTATGCTGACTACTGTGTCCTGGACTGCAGTAACAGATGTGAAATCATATTACCCAAACGCTGCAATTAGTCTCACTCGCTCGCGGGTTAATGAGTTTGTGGAAATGTGCGACCCATTCCTCATTAGGCAATTTCTCATGCTCTGATGAGAGAGGGAGAGAGATGTGGTTACAGCAACTTAGTGGAAATGGCATACACTCCTCTGTAACACATACTGTACACTGTTTGGAGGAGGAAGAGGAGGATGTTAAGTTCACTCATTGCGTTTACTAAAGTAATGATTTTACAGTATTCTGGATACGTGTCTTCTGCTGAAGTTGCATCAGTGTTTAAGTATGAACTAAGGTTGCCTAGTCCTTCGTCGGCCTGCGTAATTAGGCAACCTGAAGCAAAGCTCGGTTCGGACACAACAGAGGACAACTAAAGAACTAATTAGCAATCAATTACCGACGTGTTTCTGTCCTGCACCTTTTATCTGGTTAGAGTGTAAGGCAGGTTATCACCACTTGACGTGTCCCCATTCACTCGCTCAGACACAGACCACCTGCTGCTTAAATGGCTGTTTTATATGTTTGTGTGTGCAGCGTGTGGTTTTTGTTGTTGACTCGGATTACTGCATGGATGGATGTGGTAACCTGGTGATGCTTGGTTCAGCAGAGGAGAATGTAACCTCATTTTGTGGGAGAGGAAGGTGAAAAATCTTCAAACGAATCCAATTTAGACCATTAGGGGAAGTTGCTCTGTCCCATCCCTGCACTTAAGAGCATAAAAGATAGTTATTCATTAGCCTCATCTGAGCCAATCAGTCACTAAATCCTCCTTGTTCTCAACTCTGGTGTAAGTTTAAACCTCAAAATAAATTTTATTTCAGTAAAACGCATTAAACATATATAGTTTTTATAAGTTTAAGAGATTATATGGTGCTCATTTCAGCCTCTTTTTTTCTCTGTTGCTGTGACACACATATGCAAGCGTGCATGCACACACACACATACACACACGCTCACTGTGACATCTGGGGGGAAAGTGTGCTGTAAGAAGGCTGCGAGTGCCTCTCATGATAACAACTCTGCATTTCAACAACCTACATCCATCATCATCAGTGCTAACATCTGCTCTGAGCCTCAGCCTTAAATCTCTTTCTACTCCCCCAATCCTTTACCTCTCCCTAGTTTCCATCCTCTCCTCTTTTCCAACACTCATCTCGTTTCCCTCCTTTTCTTTGTCTCACCAGAAGTTTCTTTTTAACAACCCTCCTCAACATGCTTGATCTAGATCCTCTCATCAGCAGAACATGCACGAGTTTGTTTTATTTTGTCTGCCTTAAAAAAAATCAATATATAATGATGAAGATATCAGAGATCTTATGTGTAATTTAAGTAGTGTGTCAGTATGAATGAGATTCTGTCTGCTTTGTGACTTCAAGCATTTATATTCTGTTAATGGCTGCTCCTGGTGGTTCACAAGCCAAAACCCAGTGGACGTCTGACGGATTTGTCATTTTCATTTCTGCTCAAGCAAGCACGCCTGCACTGCATGTCTATACATTCAAAAAACAAACACAGATGAGATGCTAGTGTGGTAATCTGAGCAAGAACAATGAATCAGAAACAGAAAAGGCAACCAAAGTTCAACTTTTCTCTCTGAGTGACCATAATAGTTTAGACTCTAACCATAACCGATCCACTGTTTGATTCGAAATCCTCTCATCGTGTGTGTGTGTGTGTGTGTGTGTTTGTGTGCACGCATCAACTGATTCTGACATTTTCCAAATCAAAGGCAATTACTTCACCTCTTCAGCTCTGGGAGCCAACATTGTTGAGAGGCGATAATCATGATAGTTTTCTCAGTCATTTTTCTCCCAATAACAAGCCATTTTTAATCCAATTAGGAGTGCTAACGTGAGAAGCATAATACCACGGCCCCTGGGACAGATGAGAGAATATGCAGGACATTTATCCCGACAGTCAATATTGGATTTCTCACTAAGCAGCTGTGCCTGCTCTCCCTGACATTCTCCACCTCTGCACAGTGATCCGTCCTGATTAAAGCCGCTTTTCTACTTTATCAACATTCATTACATGACCTGGTCATGCGTGGTCACTGAGACCAGGAGTAGGAAAGTTGTACGCCTCACGTTGGGGTTTTCCTACTGTAATTTCACTTTGTGTTCAACAGTTAAGTGAAAGGCGATAGTGGTTTGATTTTAGATTTTGCTTTTGAAGTTATATGAACAATGTTGTGGTATTCCCCAAATCTTCCATCACCTGAAACTGAAAGTTTATTTGGGT